CATGGTAACAACATACACACATGTAACAACACACACACATGTAACAACATACACACATGTAACAACATACACACATGATAACAACATACACACATGATAACAACATACACACATGATAACAACATACACACATGTAACAACATACACACATGGACATCGTTAAGAAAACTGTTTTAAGGATGGAAGTTAAATGCCCAGACTTAAGGTACACTTAAGCATTTTATGAATATATAACTGTGTGTGTGTGTGTGTGTGTGTGTGTGTGTGTGTGTGTGTGTGTGTGTGTGTGTGTGTGTGTGTGTGTGTGTGTGTGTGTGTGTGTGTGTGTGTGTCAGGAGGAGGTACCGATCTGTCAGGGAAGAACCCGCCGCCACAGGATAAGGTTAGTTCCTCTCTGATCCACGGTCACTAATCCACCTCCACCCAAAGCTGTGAAGAGAGACTCTTCTGGAGCCAACGTCCCTCTGCTTTATATCTGGAGAAGTTGACAGCAGAACTTTTCTCTGTGTGTTCCTGGTCTGGTTTTGTGTTTGCTGAGGACATGGTGGAAGCTGGTTCCCCGTGCGAGGCTATTTGGATCTGCTGTTCTGAAGAAAGATGAGATCAAATGTATCACACGGTGGTAACCAGAGGTGCTGCTGTGTTGTGTTTGCAGCTGAGGAGCAGGGTGGTGGTGGTGAAGTACGACAGGAAGCCGCTCAGCAACAAAACTCTGTTCGCCTTCACAGAGCCCTTCGGACGCCTGAGGGAACACCTGGTGCTCAACAACAAGGTGAGAAACTGTTTCTACACAACACAAACAAACCTGTGGAGATGCTCACACAGCGTCACCTGGTGTACATCAGGTCTAACCCTTCCTGTCCTCCTTGGACACCAGAAAGACCGTAGGCAAGATGTTCTGAAGACGGCACAGAGAATTACGATAACACTTTCAGTGATGCAAATTAGTCGCTTTTCGGCGCCTCCCGCTTTTTTAACGCTGCTTTGGCTGACTTGTGTAATTCGTGGAGAACCGAAGAGTTTTCGTTTTGGGGAGGGGGGGGTCCGTCAGTCGGACGGACGGACAACTTCTCACTTCAAAAAAGAAGAAGAAATCTAGATCGCAAAATAATTAAACAAGCGAGTGCCTGTTTTTCCTGGCCAAGGACAGGTTCCTTGAACACAACACGAGCGTAACGTGTCTTCACGTGGTTATGTCTCGTCTGAAAGGAGTGTAGACTAGAGTGCTTACGGAGGGCACCGGAACGCCGCTCCAGCTCTTCAAATATTGCAGTACCTATAAGGAGCCGTACACATGCCGCAGTGTTTGCATGACTGTGTCTTTAGTTGTAAGCACAGTGGCGATCTGTTGTTATTAGCATCTGGTTAGCTAGCTATGCTAAC